TCTTACATAAACGAATATATTCTTTTAGCTTACTTTCAAAATGCTTTTTATTAAATTTAGTAAATAAAAGAATCTACTCTTGTATAGGCTTCTGCCAGCTGTGTAATTTTACTAAGTAATTCACCAACAAAGGACTGAGGACTAACGTTGTGCACTGGCAAACATGTTTCGACATTACCATCAAAGAAACAAACAGATTTGCTTTACGCTCCCCCAGACGCCAAACATTCAAAAACATTCCAAAGGACACGTCTCATTCCCATCTCATTTTCCCTCATACCTCAACCATTAATATTCATAAATATGCTACGTGCCGATAACTGTCAATTTCAATTACCAAAACCACGCAAAAACTCATAGCATAACAGCGGAGCGATTTGAAACGAAATTCCAAACACAGCGCCCACATTCCAGCGAACGCAAAGCCGAAACGAATCATTGGCCTGCCTGTGGCAGAGAAATGTAAGAGGCGACGGTGTAGTGAGGGCTTTGGGGTGTCATTAAACACACACAGCAATCAATATACCGGAAAATCGGCAATAAAAGCAAATTTCGTAATTTTCGTAAAATACGCGAATGGCATTGCTGGAGAAAAGAATGTTGGGGGTAAACGAGCTTATGCTAGAGAAAATGTATGTAATACATGCTAGACTAACAGGTTTCGTAATTACTCGCCATAAATCACCCTGATGGACCCCAAAATGTGGTACTTTCAGAGGAAAGGTGAATTGGATGCGAAAAAAATGAATTGTAAGAAAATAAAAAAAACATTTAGTGAAGAGGTGGCCGGTCAGTGGTTGTAAAAGAATGAGAGCAGTAAAGCGCACCCTCATGCGCTTTTTGCATGCGAGGTTATGCAATGGTCTGAGCATTTTTGTTTAATCTAAAAATCTATTACAAATACTTTCGAGAAAAACCTGTAAATAAATGTGCTTATATTGCAGCGGTCTTGCAGAGAAAAATACAGTAATACAAATTTTTGGAAAAAGCTCAACGGAAGTTGGTTATAAACCCGCTGTTTGCGCAATTTTTCTTTATTTCGAACGGAAATAAGCAACATTTACTTGGCCACATGCCGTTGAACGGCGGAACAAGACTTTTGAGTGTAGAGATTTTAAAATCTTTCTTCTTGAGCAAAAAAAGGGTTAAATAAAAGTCGATAGCAAATTAAAATAAAATAAAATAAAATAAAACAAAGTAAAATAAAATAAAATAAAATAAAATAAAATAAAATAAAATAAAATAAAATAAAAAAAAATAAAACAAATTAAAATAAAATAAAATTGACTTAAAAAAAAAAATAAATTTAAGTGAAGTAAATTGGAGTGAAATGAAATGAATTAAGATGAAGGTGGCAACCTAAAAGGGGCTCTGTCGTTGAACGAAATGTAAATTTTAAAACAAACTAAGGTCTGGAACTAACTACTTTTTCCGAACTTAAAATATTTTAAGCACCTCTTAGTTCTTTGAACTTTTAATTTATAGAACCCTTGCGTCACACAAGTGAAAAAAAATGAAAATAACCGCGGCAACATGCAACATCCCAGCAAAACATTGCGTGTAACTTCCACAAAACGTGGCTACCATTAAATTGGCATAAAATGTAAAATAACTGTACATATAATAATAGTAATTACGCTAAAATTTAAGTTGAAAGAAAAAGGTTGGAAAATAAATGAGTAACTAAGCGCGGATACACATAAAAACCAAACACTGCTCGAGTGATTTCTAAGGAACAAAGTCGCTAAGTACAATGTGGCACGCAAACTGGGGCAATATCATCAATGCTTGGGCTTAAAAACACTTAGGTAAACTTTTACTGGCGAAGTATGAAGAATGTGAAGGAAATGTCAAGGGAAGTAATAAAAAAGTGAAGTAGTTAAATTTAAAAGGAGTTAAATTGTGTTGAAATTGTTGGAGAATGAGAAATTAGTGCAGGAAAATTCTGTTTGGAATAGAGGAAAAAGCTTTAACGGTAGTTATTAAGCTCAAGTGTAAAAGTGAGTTGGAAATTGTGGTTCAGAAGTAAGGAGTTTGTAAAAGAATTTCATGGATTTTGCCAGGAGTCTGGTAGAAAATTGTTCAAAATGCTTATTTTTAAACTAAATAAATTCTAATATTTAAAGTTCTTATTGAGATTTAATTTTTAATATCCTGTTTCGATAAATCGAGAAATAGTAACAAAAGCAAGAAGCTTAATTAAAACTCTTGAAGAGAGCGCACTAAAAGCTCACATATTTAAAAAAAAAAAAAAATGCTGGGCCTATTTTTTACAGCAAGAAAGTTCAAAATTGTCCTCACTAGAATTATATTATATTAAAACCTTCCTTTCCTTTGTAATAAAAATATATATATTGGGTTTGCACCACGTCGCATCCACGCTTGAGAGCTCTACACTGTGGCTATCTTTCATTTCCGGCACCGGAAACATTTAGTACTGGCGCGCCTGACAAATATTTATGCAGCAACGTGTAAATATGAATGCAAAAGGGGGGTAATCCCTAAAAATAAATACGCACACATTAGTAGCGGAAAAGTTGGCAGCTGATTGGCGGTCAGTGAACTTACGCCAGCACCACACCCACCATACATAGAGGAAGTCAGGAATTGCACATAAAGTTTTTGCAATAAATGGTTGTACTTGTGTTTGTATGTGTGTGAGTATGTATTGCAATGTGCATAGTTAAAAATATGATAAAAGTGTAGCAATCAAAGCGCCAACCTCTTTTGCTATTAAACCCCTCCCTGCCACTATTCGCTGCTTGCTTACCTCTAAGCGACCCCATATTTATGACTTAGGCTACCGCAGCACTTCTCTCAGTCAACAATCTCATACCCAGCGGCAGTTTACCCCTTTAATTTTGCTTGGGGCTAGGCTTCATCGCTAGTGCTGCCAAAAGGGCTGCCAAGAGGGCTGCCAAGTCTATTCAAGAAGACCGCAAACAGTTAGGCTCCCCCTTTTAAGCTTTGTTTTACTACAAATCTCTACTGTTTGCACTCGCTCCTCGCTATGAGCTTGTCAGCCTGTCAGTATGTGAATGATGGGTCTTTTTGTGTTCGTTGTTTTCTTAAGTTATCAACGCCATTAGTGGGCATTTGTGTGTATGTATATGTTTTGTGTGTATCTTTCGAGAATTGTCAACCCCAAATCTTGCAAAGAAAAGCGATAAAAAAAAGCAAAATTGGCGGAAGAGTCAACTTGGCCACTGCATGACATCAAAAAGTTCGCTATTTTTCCCAAAAGTGATGGCGGGAAAAACAGCAGGCTGCTGCTGCTTCTTATTTGTACAAATCACTTACATATACCAAATGCATATGAAAGCTTCCTTGCTGAAATCCCGCTTAACAGCCACAAACTGCTGTTTTTCAAATGCTTTTGGTTTCCTGTTTTTGTACCTTGAGGCGACGGCATGGCTCCTTGAAATTTTTTCCCTGCGCTCTACTTTGTCTGACAAGTTTTTCTTCGCCTAGAAGAAGCATTTACATGAATGTGTGTGTATGTGTATGTGTGTGGATGCGTTGTCATTTGATATATGACAAATTTATTCACTTTGCTCTAACAACTTGCACATTATTTGTTCACTAACCCCTTTCGCTAAAGTTTTTCCTTTCTTTCCGTTTCCCCACTCTTTTTCGCTTGGCTCGCTTGTGGAGCATAAAAATGTCATTTTTTTGCTATTTCTTACAACATTTTATAGTTAACTTTTTAGATTTTATGCGCGCTTCTTTTGTGTCGGATTAGTCCTTTTTTATCCTTTTTATCCTGAGCATTATTGCAATTGAATTTTACACATCGTAAATTTATTTCGTTGGTTTTTGTTTTGTGGTTATCATACATTTTTACGAGTTCTTTGGCCGCATTTCATAGCCTGTCCTTGAATCCTTGCTGGGGTTATGGGGTGAACACTTTGTTTCAGTTTCGGTACATAAATTTTCTAAGCTTTGAAGAAGGTGTAGGAAGTCTTGAATAAACTGAAGACTCGCTCTCGCTTTAGCTTTATGACTATTTTCGCCAAATATTCCATTAGAGCTTTACTTACAACCCTAACAATGTTTCGGGAACTATGCGGGACTCCCTTATTGATTTCAGCATTCTTTCCACTGAGTATCAAACAAGCTTTTACGCTCTGTTATTGTAAATTTTAGTTCCATCCCACCACTGTGTGGTCTCAAGCTAGTTATCCCGCTTAATTTACGGGCTGGCTGTTAATTCAGCCTCGTACAAACCATATATTATTATAGCACGAGCGTTTAAAGTGATTTCCGAAGCCTATATCATGTAAAGCTTCGGATGGTATAGCTTCTCATAAAAATAAATCCATTAAATATTGATTCTGGAAAAAAATAAATAAAAGGAAGAGTCTCGTTAATATGTTTTCGTGAGAATCTTTCCATTTTTTTCTCCCAAATGCTAATCTTATTTTTCTTATTTTCGGCTTCTAAATGTAAGAATTGAGCGAACGTAGCAAGTACTCTCTTTTGTCCTTAGTTACGGTTAGCACTCGCCTTTCTATCGATTGTCTTTTGGGCCCCTTTTAATATATGTTTGCTGAATTAGTTTGAAAAAAAAAATAGTTTACTCTGCGAAATTTCACGCTGCATTGATAAACCGCAAATCCACGCGTCCCCAGTGAAATCAAACCATTTCCAACCTACACTTAACCGCAAGTCGGCAAATAACTGAGAGAGAATTGCCTAGGAAAAAACTGAAAGTAACAGTACAATGTAAGCGACTTGCCGTCATTTACATTGTGGTTTTCTATTTAAACGCATAATGAAATAAAAAATAAAATAAAATTTAAAAAATGTAAAAAATATGAAAAAAATCAGAGAAAAATATATTTGAATGAAAAAATGGCAGCTGGTATGCCATAAAAATGCCATTGCGGTTAGAACGAGTAAAGAAAAATATAGTTAATTTTAAAATACCCACTAAAATTAGCAGCTGTTTTAACATTTTAGCACATATTTTGTTTTAATTGCTTGTTTTCCCTTTACAGCTGGAGCAATCAAGTCATAACGTAACCGCAAAATAACAACTTCCGCACAAATATTTTCTGTATTAATTACTGGTGAGTCTTTTTCGGAAGTGTTGTATTACTTTATTACTAGCGCTTTTGACTTTATCCGATTTGTGCTTAATTTTTTTGAAGCTTAAAATATCACATCATATGATGTGACTTCTACTGCTGCTACTTTAAAGTCACTTCATGCCAATTCATAACACTTGTTAGGGGACTAATAATATGTAGTACTGTTTGAGTTAAAATTTATATGCATACATGACATCGACGCACATCGCTTGAATGTCCATATACGTCGTTTAAGCTCAGAATCCCGAAAAAATTAAAGTAGTAGTAGTCGTATTTGAAGGAAAACCGAAATATGTCTACACAAATCGCATCATCACATAATGATCACGCGATATTTCATCATGTGATTTTTTTTTGTACATATATTATATTACATAATACAAGTTAATAAATATACTAATTAAAAATAATATTCCGGAAAGCATGTATTGAAAATCGAATTGTCCATTTTAATCGCATGATCGTGTCTTATGACTTTTTAATCACACATGAATCCGTGAGAGCTTTCCTCTATTTTGCAATTAATTTACAAATGTATCTGATGTATTTCAGTTAAAAAGAATTATAGAACCATTAAGAAAAGCACATCATCCCCTACAATTGTATAACCGCATCATATGCATACGTATGTGATCACACGATATTTCGTTATACACATTTTTGTATACTCTTCATCTTTAAAACTTTTTTTTAGAGCAAAAATGCTTGTGTAATTTTAGATGTATTGTTTTCGAAACTATATAAACAGAAATAATCGCGGAATGAGTTATAAAAATCACATCACCACACTGTAATATGACTTTTGACTTCTTCAAATAATTTTTAGATATTTTGGTTATTCTTTTTTTTTCTTTAAATAACTTTTTATGCCTTAATATAATATAATTCAAAGTAACAGAATTTTAGGTATAATAGAATATGCATCAACAATTTATTCCAATCATCAGAACACATCGGCTCATATGACTTTTATGTCACGCAATTTATATCATATTAACTACAATTTTTTTTTTTACATATTTTAGAGCCTCTTCTTCATAATATTGCGACATATTTTAGACATAAATAAAAGTGTCATCGTCCTTTACATGCATCGCCAAGCACATGAAGGTCCACAGATCACAAGCACCGGCGACAGCATGAAGAGCAGCAGACAAAAGTATCCTCAAAACTACTTAACACTGTGACAATTTTTAACCCTCTCCCCTTCTTTTCCACTTAAACTCGATATTTCAATAACAACGAAAATGAGTGAAGACAACAGAAATTTATTGCATATTGCTGAAAGCATTTCCATATTGAAAAATAATAATAAATGCTGAAAAAGGCAGAGAAAAGAGAAGAAGATTGCAAAAGAAATAATCACAAGTGCATGGAGATGCAATTCATACACAATAGGGTCGGCCTGGCGACCGCTGGTCAGTGAGCAGTCCAAATACATTTCATTATTGTGGGTGCCATTGTTTGTTGCTGCTGTTGTTGACATTGCTGTTGACATTGGACACTTTGTTTAATTTGCAAGCAAAAACAAATATGTCGCTTTGAGTAGTGTGTAAAAGTGCATGAAAAGAGAAATGAAGTAAAAATTCTGAAAAATCAACTGCGAATTGCAACAGTAAAGTGCATTTGCTGCCCACCAGCTTGGGTTCCTTGGAATTGAAGTGCTGCTGCTACTGCTGTTTTAAGTTTTCGATGTTGCTCTTATTGCCTGCGTGTTGTTGTTGTTTTTGGTGTTTTCGGCACTACACTTCATTGCCATATGGAAAAGTGCATTTTTATGTCGCATTCTGCCAAGTGTTATTAACATTTGTTTGCAAGGGAAAAAATTAAAAAAAACATCATAAGAGCCTAGCATAAATGAATTGCGAAAAAAAAACAAAAAAAAAAAAAAAATTAAAAGCCAAATACCGAACAGTAATAACACAAAGGTATTAATTTCAATATCAAAAAGCGTGACCAATGGCTTGCACTTGATTGCGTCTCCATTGAATATGTGCGATTTCATTTAAAAATATTGACTCTGTTGGTGCAGATTTTTAAGAAATGTCATTTTAATATTTTCCACTTACTCAGACTGATTTTTTAAAAAAATGCTCTTGTTTTCGAGCAATATTTTCTGTTGGAAACTTACCTGAAATGAAAAAGAAAAAAACCAATTCTTATTTAAATACAAGGAAAATTCAGATTGATTAGATTTCAGTGTAATTAGGAATAGGATTTTTTTTCGAAAGTAGTTTTATGAACACTCTGTTTCGATGAAAGGTCTTCCGAATCGCTCTCTAAAAGCTTCTGGAACTATTTCTGAGTATTTTGTTCTTGCCATAGGATGGCTCAAGAACTAGAAGGGTAAAAAGCAAGGTTGTTACCTGTGTGAAAATTATAAGTAAAAGCATGAAACTATTTTTGAAGAATTTTTCCGAATTTATAGCATGACTTGAGATGCTGCAGGGTTAGCCACAGTGTGTGGAAAAAGTTTTCTGAATGGATGGTGTAACAAATTGAATGAAGTTGGTTTGCGCTTTATATGTACAAAATTAAAAAAGAAAATAATAAAAATACATGAAAGCAATATTTAAGGAATATTAAAAAAGATATAATATAATTAGCGCATCGTAGCCACTGAAGCGATTTTCGACCGAGCTCCTCCTTCGATTTGTGGTCTTGTGTCTTGATGTTTTTTCAACAAATGGAAGGAGCTACAGTTTATGCTAAGCCACCTCCGAACAGCAATTCAGAGAACCTCAATTTCTAACTCTAATGAATGAAATGAGTCACCACTGAACAAGGTCTCCTTTAAACCGGCTCTAATAAATACTGAAAAATCTATATTTGTTTACAAATTACCTTTCAAAATGTTCAATGAAATGAACACACTAATTTACAACACTCACCCAAATTATTTCACATTACACATATTTATGCACAATATTTTGCGTCAACAAAAACTCATGCAGCCGAAAATGGCTAAATTTTAAATTTATGTCGCATGACATATCTCACGGCGTGTATGCTACTGTCTTTGCTTTGCAGCCAATGCATTTGCCATGCCAAAAAAACGGCAATTCCAAATTAATAAATTCGCTGATAACTTCGTACCAATCGTTGGCACCACCATCAACAGCCGATCGGCCAGATTGGTGGCCACTCACATGGTTCGACCTGTTCGACAGTTATCGCCCGTGTAAAAGAGAGAGAGAGAGAGTGAAGACCCCCCATCACGTATGAGTCAGTTGCATGCGAGAAAGATGTTATCTCTGTACATGGTACATATGTATATATGAGTATAAATATGACACGGCTTGTTAGTTAACGCACATAACTGTACCTAAATACTATTTAGTAAATAGTTGATATAATGTTTATTTAGTAACAAAAATATATTAAAATATTTTACGAAATTTATTTAAATAATAAACTATAAGATTTGTAGTGCATTTCTTTACATACCCGCGAATGTATGTACATAAATAACAGCATTTAAATGACAAAAATATTTATGTATTTGTTGTGGAGAAATTAATACATGCGAGAGTACGTTGGCGCTGAGCGGCGGCACGATTGTGTAGGCCTGTTGGGCATTGGCTTTTAAAATATACACTTTAGCCACTCACTAAAGCCACACAATTGATGGCAAATATTTAAATGAACGGGAATGAGCGTTAAAAAAATATTCACCAAAATAATAATAATATTCGATTTCAGCTGGTGAATGGCGTTTTCCGTTTTTTAACATGTTTCTATTCATATTTATTTTTTCCTTTTGGGTTTTGGCACCCCCACTGTGTGCCGTATTAAAGTTTAATTAGTCTGTATGCTTTTGGCGATTATTCAATTTACTTTATTGGCATTTTATTGGTTTTCCGTTACCTCTGTGGCATAATCATATGCATATGTACATGCACATATTTAGCAAAATTTAAAGCGGCTTTCTGCTCTTGTCTAATAAGTAAACGTCAATGCTGACATACATATTTACGCACACGTTTGTATGTGTATTACAGTAGCATAAAAAATATTTATATATATTTTTAAGCTGAAGGTCTGCATGCATGGCTACTTTTAAAAAGTGAATGAGTTAAAAAAAATTGTAAAATTTAAATTAAAAATAAGATTAAAAATAAATTAAAAATGAAATAAATATGACATATAATAAAATTTACTTTTGAAAGTTCTAAAATTAAAAAAAATTACTTATATTATTTGGATTTAACCACGAATAATCGGATAAAAAAAATTTTATTACTCAAAATTTATTCAAATGGAAAATATAATAAAAAAATGCCTAGAAGCTTTGCCTTCACTTCTTTTTCTGCCACAGTAATGTTAACTTTACACACATTTATCGCAAAGGTGTGCTTAGTTTTGACAAAGCTATCAACTCGTGCTTTACTCCGCCTCAGGCATTTCATTTTTTTTCGACAATTTAATTAAAAGTGACATGCGCTGTACAAGAGGAAATACAATTAGCGAATACACATCCATAAAAACAACAATAACAAGCTATTTCTTTCCATTTAAGAGTATGTTACTTGCAAAAATTTGTACTCTTTCGTTGTCGAATCAATTTTGCAGCTGCCACTGTTTTATGTCTTTTCGCATATCTTATACATTTCCCATACTCAATTATTTACCGATTATTGTTAATGGCAATGACAAAAAAAAATTAAAAAAATATTGAACTTCGTTATATGTAAATCCCTTCAGACAAGACAAAGTACAAAATTTTAACAGGAAGTAGAGAAAAAAAATTAAAAATGATTTTTTAATTAAACCAGGAAAAAATTCAATATAATAAAATAATATAAACTGATTTAGCAAATAAAATAAAATATTTAATTTAAATAAAACTAAATCAAAATATTTAAGCGCGATAAAGTTAATTGTAATAAAATAAAATTATATTAAATTAAATACAATACAACACAATAAAGTAATACTTCATAAAATAACATAACTCAAAATGAAATAAATTAATTTAAATAAAATTTAAATAAAGTTTAAATAAAATAAATATTAAATAAAAAAAATAAAGTTATAATGAAATTAAATAAATTTAAATTAAACCAAATAAGGTAAAATAAAATGAAAAAAATATTTTAAAAATAAAAAATTATAAAGATAAATAAAATAAAATCAATTATTATTAACACCGAGAGGAAGCTTTCTATAATTTATAGCAAATTTCTAACATCACAAGAACTCATCTAGCTTGAGCTTTTTGCCTTTGAGTTTTTTGCCTCAGCTTGACTAACAATTCTGGTGGAAGGTATTTAATTGATTTTTATTTTATTTATGATTTGCTTTGAATATTTTGTATTCTACTGTGATTTTGTAAAATAAAAATATCATAAATTATTTTTGATTATATAAACCCTTATCTGAAATCAGTCAGCTATTTTTAGCACACTTCAACAACAACGGCTCAAAATATGACGCAGTTGGGAATATAGCGCATCTTGTATTTATTTTTATATTTCCCTCCAAATGTCCAACAAAAGTATGCGCATTTCAGTTTTTGACACAAACCATTTGATACACTGAGTGGCAATTAATCAATGTCTCATTATTTAATAAAAAATATTAATTTTTTCCCTTAAATTTCGACAGCGCAGCAGGTGTTGATGAGCTCTTTAGCGTTGATGAATATTTATAGTTTTGATTAATATTTAAAAAAAAAAATTATAAATTCAATCATTCACTCGCAATGCCCGTTGAAAAGAAGCCGAAATTTCAAACTAGCTTTTGAGCGGCAGTTCTCAGATTTCAAACACCATACTCATTCATATGCTGCTGTCATAATTTTTACGTTTTGTCGAATTGTTTTTTTTTTTTTTAATTTTTTAATATTCCGCTACGCATCAATTCACCACAGACATTTAACATGTTTAAATATTTATTTATTTAAATTGAAGTTCACATACATATCCACAAACATACGCGCGTAAAAGCATACATTTTGAAATGTCTCTGGTATGTAGAAAACTTATATAAGGACGTAAAGCAGTTTTGTTTTTTGTCAATTAACGTGTGTGTTGAAAACTGCCAGACAGTGTAAAACAAAAAAAAAAAATGAAAGTAAATACCTATTAATATCTGAGTAATGATATTTATGAGTGTATTTTGGTAAATTAAATTTTAATTTATTCATTTTAAGTACTTTTAGGTACAAGTGTACTTTGTTATACAGAGAAAATTAAATAAAATATAAAAATTTTTAGCTACAAATTTTGTTCATTTGAGTTGGAATAAAAAGACTAAATTATATTTAATAAAAAGTTATTTAATTATTTGATTTCATCAAGCTTTGTATCATATTTGCAAAAAACAAATATCAAATATTCTCAATTACATGTGACAAATCACATATTTCCTTTATGGAAACTGGTTGAAAGCGCGATATTTGCCTACACATTAGGAGAGTCAACATGTCTGAGGTATGTGCTGAATGCCGAAGGAGAAAAAAACTGCTAAATAGTCTCTTGGACTCCTCCATTGAAAAAAACACTTACATATATAACTAACTTTTCTTGTAAGCTCCGTTATCGAGTTTCCGATCACACCTGTTGCGTTCGGAATTATTCCAAATAATTTTCTCATTAAAAAATATCATTAATGTTTTCACCTGACAGTAACCAATTTTTCGTTACCCTCACCTTTCAAACCTAATTTGTTTAAATAAATTACATTGATTATCTTGATATTTTTACTTGTGTGCTTCTAATATTTGTCATTTACAAATTGTTAAAGTGATAAGATCAAATTAATGCAGACGAAAGCTCAGCCTTGACGCTGAATGTGGCACGAAAGCTCTTAACGCAAGCACCTCTTTTAATATCGCATATCGCATTAATACTATTTCATTATTTGACAGCTGAAAATTTAC